GCGGCCGTGACCCTGCTGGAGTCTGGGGGGGACCTCCAGCCCCCCGAGGGGTCCCTGCGCCTCCTCTGCCGAGGGTCCGGGTTCATTTTCAGGAGGTACGCCATGCAATGGATCCGCCAGAGACCCGGGCAGGCGCTGGAATTCGTCGCGTACATCAGCAACACTGGTGGCAGCACCGACTACGCGCCGTCGTTGAAGGGCCGGGTGACGATCTCCAGGGACAACGGGCAGAGCTCGGTGACGCTGACCATGAACAGCCTCAAGGACGAGGATTCCGGATCCTATTTCTGCGCCAAACACGTTTATTCTCGCAATGCTGACACTGCTGACCGTTTTGGCCCCGCCCCATGGCCGTGTCCCCAGCTGTCCCCAGACCCCTCCCCTGGCCCAGCCCTGGCCCCTCTGTCCCCACCTGGGCTGGCCAATCTCTCGTGGACGCCCCAGGCCAGGATTTGCGTTTTTGTTTCGCCAAATTCGCATTTCCCCCATTTTGAGGTTTCCCACCCAAAGTGCTGACGCGTGCGGCGGGCTCGGAGCCGGCCGATCTCCCGCGCCCTCATTTCCTGCTCTGAGACAGGATCGGCAGAGAGGCAGGGCAGGCTCAGAGCCCTTAAAAGGACATTTATTCAAAGTAACTAACAGAACAAATTAAGGATCCAAACAAAGCCCTCAGAACGCTTCTCCTCCTCCCTCACCCTTTCCTCACCCGCTGACAAATGTCAAGAAACAAAAGCTGAAATTTCCCGTCGGTTCGCCACCTCTGAAATTGTATTTTTTCTGCTCCCTGAGAGAGAGAAGTCCCTCTTGTTAAGGTGATGGAGACTTGTTTAAAAGAGGAAAAAACAGGGTTTTTTGTGGTTTTTGCGCGGAGTGGGGGTGGGGACAGCGGTGTTACCAAAAGCAGCGCTTTCAGCCCAACTAGCAACAGCATGGACTCGGGCCTTACCCTGCCGCGGTGAAATCCTTCCCGCCGTCACCGGCCTTCCCACAGCTTGCCACGGCCGCGCCAGCTCACGGGCACTGCTTTACAGATGAGCTGCCCAAAGGCAAAATTCCCATTTCCTGTCCCTAAAGTCGTCCCCGTCCCTGGGAACAGAAATGTTGTTTATTTTCCCTCCAGACTTTCTCTGCTCCGACTCCTGACGGGATCCCGGCTGCCCCAACGCCCGCTCCCCTCAGCCGGGCGGCGCCGGCTCCAGATCGCTCTGAGCGTTGGCACCTCCCCGCACTTCCAGGGGTTTTAGGGAAAAAGGGTCATTTCTGCAGGGCTGGCGAGAGGATCCAGCCCCAAAATCGGGACACGGCGGCCGGGGGGCAGCAGGGGAGTCCCAGGTGGGAGGGAGGAGAAGACGCCGAGATTTTGGGGCTCTGCAGCCGCCGCCCACTTCCTTCCTGGCAGCTGCAGGGGCCCGGAGCGGCCGGGACAGGAAAATAAAGAGTTCCGGGTTTTTGTCATCTTTTTGACATCTGTGTTTCCCAGAGGCGTGTCCAGCTGCTCGGCGGCTCACCAGAGTGCCGGCGGCACAAAAAGCTTCGTGTCGCTGCCCTGGATTTCCCCCGTTCCAAACTGGGACAGAGGGGAAGGCCGAGATTTGGGAGGAATGGTCAAAATTGGGGGGGAACCCTGGAGTTTGAGCAGGAGGGGAGGAGTTTGGGGCAAAACGGCTGAGATTTGAGGTGAAAAGCTGGGATTTGGGTGAAAAAGCACTGGGATTGGAGACATTTGGAGACCATCATGGGGGTGGCGCCGGAATTGTCGCCAAAAAGAGCAGCAGCAGCATTGCCAGCATAACCATTGTCACGTTTGGCACAGAAATAGGATCCGGAATCCTCGTCCTTGAGGCTGTTCATGGTCAGCGTCACCGAGCTCTGCCCGTTGTCCC